TCTCGGACTGGTTCACCGTTTGAGTCCCACTACAGTCCTTTGATAAGACTTTAATGGAGATTTGCTGCTTCTCCACCCAGGTGTTGAATTGGTACTGATACAAATGAATTCCTAGAATGCTGTGAGCAGCTGTGAATCAGTAGCCTAGCTAGAGCCGGTGTAATTTTGGAATGCCCTGGGCACCTTGCGTGGTGGATTTGTGTGCTTTATATGAAAATAGTATCATGATTTTCGTTATTATTATTCACTTTTTTGTATACATCATTGCATTGCACTATTGTGCTGTATAAACTAGTTTTGATGCAATTAGTCTGCTGCCCCCAAGAAGGTTGTAAGAGCTTTGCATTAGGCCTGTTTTCATCAGCTCCAGATTGCCAAATAGCCCACTATTTCAGATTTGGTAAATAATCCCGAAGTTACAATCACGTCTTCATCAGCTCAATAATTGACCTCGAAACTTAAAACTCGAGCTGGAGATATTTTGCTCAGCGTTCGCGCGTAGTGTGAGTCTTTGGGCTGGTGAAGACGCACCGGACAAATGGCGGGATATTTTGCAAACTAGCCCAAGATATCTTGGGATGATTATCTCAACCAAATATCCCGCTAATTGCAATTTCAGGATGATGAAAACGCAATTTAACTGGATAATTTGCGATCGGGATAGTTCAAATAGTGGGGTATTTGGCAATCTCGAGCTGATGAAAACAGGCCTATTGTGTATTGTATAATTTTACCTTCTCCCCTTTTTGAAGGAAGTGAAGCAAGTGGAATAGTCCTCGTGCCCAATGTCACCACAGCCATCAATGCTGTTGTCCGGAGCATTCCATTTAAGAAGGAGGAGAAGATATTCTGCCTCAACATTACATATGGTAAGTAACAAATAGTTTCTCCTGTCCTTATTTTATTACCCAGCTTTTCTCCTTTTTTAGCATTCATGGATGGATTATATTTTGTATTCCTAAAGACTTGTTCATACATGTAGATACTGCAGTTAATTGAGCACTATTTTGGGGGGTTTGGGTGGGGTTTTTTTCCGGTGGAGTGGGGGGGGGGGGTTGAAAGGTAGGTGACCATACTATTTGTATCATAAGTAAGTCTGAGTACACATGGGACCATTATTATTGCACACAGTCACATTTTCCATTTCCAGTTGTCATTCATCAATTCCACTGAAGAAAAAAAAACTGTTGGGATTTCCTGCAGCATACTTGAACAAGCCCTACTTGAACCCAGGCGGGAAGAGGTAGATTTTAGAAGTACAAGTGTATATATGATGTATTCAATTGGCTTACTATTGCAATTTGAATTGAATTAATTGGAGAGTGAATATTCAGATTTAAAGAAAGACATGTATTGAAATGGGATTGTTACTTTTCATTGTTTGTAGAGTAAGTGCTTTAGTGCTCATGAAATTTAAAGAAAGGGGCACAGTAATAGTAAATGTTGGGATCTCTAAGGCAAAATTCATTTCTCCAACTCTGTTTTCTCCTTTTCTTTTTCTATCTTTCTCCTGTATTTTTGTTTTCTCTCTATCTCTCTGTATTTTTCTCTTTATGTGTGTGTCCTCCCCTCCCCCTCCCCTCTTTCTCTCTCCTTTTCTCTCTCTCTCTCTCTCTCTATTTCTCTTTCATACTTCTTTCACACACACACTCTGGCTCTTTCTCTGAGATTTACCCTACCCCTTTCTCTCTCTATTTGCTCTCTTCTATTTGTTTATCCCTCTCTCTCTATCCCTTTAAGTGTAATCTTTATTCTCTAATTCCCCCTCTGATGTTCATTTTGTTTTTTTCTATGGCTATCTTTCCTGTCAATTCCCTTTCTCTTTCTCTCTCTCTCTCTCTCTCTCCCCTCCCTCTTCTCTCTCGATCCTCGAATGTTCTACCACCCAATCATTTTGTGTGGCTTATTGAATGTACACCTGTAGGTGCTGTCAAGAAGCTTCTAAAATACACGGCCGAATCTCTGCACCTTGAATACCAAGAAGAGAACCTCAATCTACCTCTTACATCAAAACAAGAGGTAGGAACAGGTCTGATAATTACCTGATTTTTTTTTTCTCCACGATTATACCACTATTTTCTCTATTTTCCCAATTTTTTCTGAATTTTCTTACCGGTACTCAAAAGGGGTTGAATGTTAGATGCCATTTTTTTCCCTGAATCCTTTTTTTTTTATAAACTCATGGTAGTTGAGGGGGAAAAAAGGGTTCTGGGGGGTGTTTCACGAAGACTAAGATCGACTTGAGTTGGACTTGAACTATGCCACTAGTTCCTCTAAGCATTCCTGGTATTGGTTTTTCAAGGGACGTACAAATCATGGTCACAAATCTACCAAATTTACATTTGTTGATAATTCATTATTGAAGGAAAAAAATATTATTTAAAGATCATAATTGAGGACAAATGGTGAGAGCAACCAATGGCATGAATGGCATGAATGGCCTGTCATAGTTCAAGTCCAACTTAAGTCCATCTTAGTCTTTGTGAAACATCCCCCAGAAGTGGTACAAGCTCAAAAAAGGTTTTTCAACAAGCGAGAGATGATCTTGCAACATTAAGTTAAATTTAATTTGTTTAAATACCGTATTACAAGTTCTCTGGTGGTTACTGACTCAAAGAAAACCTGGGACGTTGGTTACTGATTGAGGTGACCTCCTTTGTATTCAATGTTTAAAGTATCCAAGAATATGGACAATCTAAAAATGAATGAAAATGCCACAGAAGAAAGATTAATGAAAACCTGCAATTTGTACAAACTCAAAGAAACAGTATTTGCATGAAAACAAAAAAGTATCTAAAATTCAATACTAGGTAATGATTGAATGTCTAACCAGTCATTTATTGCAAAAGCACCATTGTTTTCAGAGGTGCATAGCGTTTTAAGTAGATTTTGTCACAGTTGATGACATATGAAGGTTACTGTGGAATTATAGCACACAGAGAGAGGAATAACAACCCCCCCCCCCCCCCCAAATAAAAAAAAAAAATACCTACCTTTAAAAAGTACTTAAAACTCTACTGATATCATAAATTACACGTATAGATAAACAGTAGTTTGTAGTCTAAACATATTTTTTTCACTATCATCATATCTTTTTATTATTCAGATTCTGGACTTGGTCTCCTCCAAACTGAGGTGAGCTTTACATCTAGGTTTAGTAAGAACATGTGGTATACAAACACTGTCCTGTAGATGTTTACCAGAATTCGAATTCTAGGCTAGTCTTGTATTCACATCAGAAATACAGTCTGTAGCCTTGTTCTGGTTTAGCCTTCTTTATTATGTCACAACTATTTTGGGAATCCCCTACATTCCAATAGTAGAGCGCTTTCGCAAACACGACGGAAGCAAAGACGACGGGAGAATTACAGCGATACATCTCTTCCGTCGTGTTTAGGAAACGATCGCTATCATAATAATAATAATAATTATCCTTGCTTATATAGCGCCTAACACTTACTTTATCAGACGTCTCTAAGCGCTCTACAATAATGCAGCATAACCATGTCTGCGTACGGTCGTGAAAATCAACTAGACAGAGAAAATTCTGGTTCGCGCATGCGCAGATTGTTTTTTCACTCGCGTTACTGTCTTCCTCCCCTTCTTTCATGTTTGCGAAAGCACCCTATTGGCTACTACGGGACGCAAATGTGTGGATATAAATTTCATGTATCAGTGAAATGTTAAAGCCAGTGGGTCGGCAGTTTCCGTGTGCAGAAGGTCCTAATTCGCTGACACCAGACTTGGTGGAAATAACATTAATGGGTGTACACCTTTGCACACAACAAATCTGTAGGTCAATCAAGAAATGGCCCCTCCTCTCTGGGAGAGTATTCGGTGATGCAAATGTCAGATAATGACTTTACTGCCATAAGGGGAAAAGACAGAGCATTACATAGTTGGTCATAAAACTGAAGGCTAATTGTGATGATTGACTACAATATTGGGTAAACACCAAAACATGAGAAACACGAATTTCCCCTGAGAGCCCACTTCTATCTGTAAAATATTGAAACATGAGGCTGATTCAATAAAGGGCCATCACTCTTTTACAATAGGCCTACAGGTCAAACTTGTTATTGATTAAAACTACAGTGAAATCGCCCCAAATTTGGTAATCAGTGACTCCTAATTGCAGCTATTCACCACTTTACATGCTTCAAATGCATATATGAAAACTTGATAGAAATGGCAAACATTTTAAACAGAATTATAATCTGAAATATATGGTGTTAAAGATAAAGTTGAGTTCTGGTCATGCGATTGCATTGTGGAAGAAGAGGTGTGGAATGGATCAGAACAAGCTGATCATGTACCATGTAAGTATTGGTGTGTACTGCAAGGTTCTCGAGTCATCAAAATCATATTAAATTTGGCCAAGTCTTGGTAAAGTAACATCACTGTACGCAGAAAGATGTATATGGGACAACACAAATGGTGTCGGGCCTACTTGCCTTGATTTCCTTATCTTTCTATGCTCATTACTCAGCCAGTATACAATTTCTACCAAAATTGTTTTGGCAAATGACATTTATTTGTAATCTTGAACATTGAGGCCGGAATTCACAAAGGAGGTTTATGTACGTCATATGACGCGTTTTGATGCGATTTTTACAAACCTGGTTTGTAAAAAACAAAAGGAGGTTTGTCGAAACAAAAGGAGGTTTGTTGACAAACCTCCTTCGTGAATTCGGGCCTCAGTGTATAAGTTTTGTTTGATTCTGTGAGAATTCATTTTCTTTTTTTACCAGAACTGAAGTGTATCTTTAATGTAAATTAATTAATAAACCAGATCACTAAATATACTTTGTTTTTTACTTGTGATTAGTCTAAACACCAGGCTAGCAGTATTTGATCACATTCCAAGCAACGCTGCTTTCATAATGCCTGTTAAGGAGATCATCGACATCTGTCATGACAGGTTAGTATTGCAAGGTTCCACATGTACTGAGGTTTGTTCCCTCATGAACAGGCCATTTTCATGATGTAACCAAATGCATGCATGCCTTTGTGAAGTGCCTCAATACGAATTATTTCATTCACGGGTTACAAATGAATGTATCTCAATAGTTAAAATTATAATTCGCATACATTCAATACAATACAATAGAATTATTTGTAACAGGTGAATGATATAATTTGTATCCCACGCATTACGAAAATGGCCTGCTGGGACATGATGGGTGGAGGCTAATGGAGCTACCCCCCCCCCCCCTTTTGTGGATAACTTTTTGTAGTTTTACAGAAGGGGAAAAAAAGAAATTGGCTCCTACCAGGGGAGTGTTTCACAATCACTTATATCGACTTTAAGTTGGACTAGACTATGGCAGGCCGTTTATGCCACTATTTTCTCTCATCGTTTACTGGCATTAGTTTCTCAAGAGACGTACCAATCGTGGTCACAAATCTACAGAATTCACATTTTTTGATAGTTCATTATTGTAGGAAAAAATATTATCTGAAGATCATAATTGAGAGACCAATGATGAGAGCAACCTGTGGCATGAACAGCCTGCCATAGTGAAGTCCAACCTAAAGTCGCTCTTTAGTCTTTGTGAAACACCTCCCAGGTCATCACCCTGCTTAGAAACTTGGAGAGTCGGTGGAAAGTAAGAAATATTCTGGGGAAATTCTTTTTGTTAAATGAAAATTATGGATTACCGTAAACGCGGAAATATTTGTGGTACATTAATTTTCACGGATTTCGCACTAAGATCAGCAAGCGCAAATTTTAGATTTTGCGAAAATATAAGCATGCCTGCTTATCCGTGTTTTGAACGGGCTGAATTGCGTGCAACTCGATTTTTAAGGAGCCGCGAACATGTTTTGGGATCGTTTAGCGTGAAAACTTAATCAGGCGAAAATAACAGCGTTTACAGTAGTACATGTGACTTGGCAGTGGTATGTTGAAAAGTATCAAGTATGCACATAGCAATAGGTTAAAATATTAAGAACAAAAACAATTCATAACAGCAGAATATTTGTATCATATTTTGTCTTTAACATATTAATACTTGCGCTGTTCTTCTGTTTCATCCCCCTTGTGGAGCAGGGGCGTTCCCGTACTGATCGATGGGGCCCATGCTTTGGGCGCGTTACCGCTCAGTATGAAGGACTTGAACCCGGACTACTACACGGCCAACGCCCACAAGTGGTTGTGTAACCCCAAGGGATGCGCCTTTCTCTACGTACGGGAAGAGCTCCGCAGCCGGACGAGACCTCTCGTGGTTTCCCATGGATTCGGGAGCGGGTTCAACTCGGAGTTCATCTGGTCAGGTATAAATGGTCTGCTCAATTCAGTCTCCATGCGGTGACAACTAGTTGCTCTGGGGGGTGTCCACAAAGACCCTAAATTGAACTTAACAATTATGGAAAGCATTTATGAGAATATTTTGTAAAAGTTATTTTAAAAGTCATAAAATATCGATTCAAATCATTCATATTCTCTATTACCAACAGGGATTTCATGTTCTTGAGGTGGAATTTATAAAAAAATCTAAAATACTTGAATCTTCGCTTTTGAATATATTTGATTTTAAGGCTGCAAATGGCTCTCCATAATTTTTTAGTCCAACTTAGAGTTAAGTTCGACGTAGGATCTTTGTGAAACACCCCCCTGCAGATAATAATCTATAATAACCGAAATTCATAACTTCATCACTAGAACTAACACTACACCTTATTTTTTTAATTGGTTTATTTTAAAAAAATCAACATGACATGCAGCTCATGGCCGATATTGTATGTTTCACAAAGCAATCAGATATGCGCAAGATAATAAAACAGTGTGAAAATACAAAAAGCAATACAACAAAATAACATTGGCATCTTACACAGCAATATCATAACAGAGTTAGGAAAATGCATCCAAGATGCGGATAAGTGGCCACTGAAACAACCGAGGCAATGTAATTATGCTAAACATTTATAAGCCAAACTCTATCCAAAAAGCCCATTGCAACCCCATGTCTTTGACAAAAAGAGGCTTGTAGCAAATGTTGGTAGAACATGTGTGACGCCACTGATTCAAATTTTTGCTCAATGCTAGAAGGGTCACATAGGATCATCCATTTTCATGTGCATTCGCTGATATAAAAGAGATGTGGTTGAAGTACCAATGAAGCCATTTTCTAAATGGAACCTACTATTTAAGCACATGTAAGATTTAGAATGTTGTCAACATTGGATAATCTTAGCCTGGTAATCATTCCCATCTTATTTTAATTTCTCTTATTTCATTTTCTCATTCTGCTCCTTCTTTTTCTTTTTCTTCTTCTTCTTCTTATTCTTGTTCTTCTTATCTTTGGTTTTCTTGTTATTGTTGTTGTTATTGATATTCTTCTTCTACTTTTTCCTCTTCTTTTTCTTCTTATTCTTCTTCTTTTTCTTCTTTTTTTTACCTCTACTTCTTCTTCTTCTTCTTCTTCTTCTTTTCTTACGTCTACTTCTTCTTCTTCTTCTTCTTCTTCTTCTTCTTCTTTTTCTTCTTCTTTTCTTCTTCTTTTTTTACCTCTACTTCTTCTTCTTCTTCTTCTTCTTCTTCTTCTTCTTCTTCTTCTTCTTTTTCTTCTTTGTTTTCTTTTTTTTTAACTCTTCTTCTACTACTTCTTCATCTTCTTTTTCTTCTTCTTCTTCCCCTTCCTCCTCCTCCTCCTCCTCCTCCTCCTCCTCCTCCTCTTCCTCCTCCTCTTCCTCCTCCTCTTCCTCCTCCTCTTCCTCCTCCTCCTCCTCCTCCTCCTCCTCCTCCTCCTCCTCCTCCTCCTCTTCCTCCTCCTCTTCCTCCTCCTCTTCCTCCTCCTCTTCCTCCTCCTCCTCCTCCTCCTCCTCCTCCTCCTCCTCCTCCTCCTCCTCTTCTTGCTGTTTTTCTGTTGTGATTATTTTCATTATAATTATTAATCATAGGTTTGAGAGATTACAGTCCTTTCCTGGCTCTTCACACAGTGCTTGATTTTTGGAATGCTGTAGGTGTGAACAGGATACGAAAAGGCATGCATGGATTACTATCACAGGCAGGTATGTTCACAAATATGAAACAACGTTTCATTTTAGGTTTCAGCTCTTCAGTAAGTAATGGATCAGTACACTGATTGAAGAAAATTTGTAAAAGAAAAATACTAAACCGATAGACAGTAGCCTCCCAGAGACATTTAAAAACTCCCTTGTGTCCCCAGTCTCTCAGATTTTGAAGTTATTCAATGTATTAGACACAATGTTTTTTATTCAAAGTAAATACACAGGCAGTATAAATGTGTCATTGATATCCAGCTGTGTGAATTGTGTCTCTGAACGTTTATTTAAAGGGGGTGCAGCATGAGGAGACTACGTGTCTTTCCCGTGACCTGTCTTGGGGCCAATCGGGTGTAATACGACTACGGACGACGCGACTGCAGTATTCATGCAGCATATGCCAAACCGAAGCTTGAGGAGGACTTTGGTCTGTTTCGGGAACGCTAGCGCGCGCTGACCGTTAATCAAGTCCATTCGTTTATGTGCAGTTGTCCAAAAGAAGTCGTAGATGGCGTTAACCAGTATTTCCCATGCTACACCCCCTTTAACTCCTAAGTGATTATTTGTTTTTCTTTCAGTTGATTTACTTGTCAAAGCATGGGACACTGGACTATTAGCTCCTATCAGTATGTGCGGTAAGTTCCTTTCATGAAACATAATACATGAAAACAAATACAGTCAAACCTGCTTTAGTGACCACCTGTGTACAGAGGCCACATTTTGTGTTTCCCTTGAAAGTGGTTTCTAATTGAGACATGTACTAAAGGAACCTGTCTACAAAGACCACTTTTTTGTGTTTCCCTTGGGTGGTTGCTATAGACAGGTTTGACTGTAACATGAAAGTGTATCAATACCCTTACAAAATATTTTGTGTATAAGAAGACATAGCTGCCAACCATTCCTATTTTTGATGAACGATTCCTATTTTTAGGCCTTCAAAGCTATTGTTTTCAACCCTAGATTCCTATCTTCTTTTGAAATGTTGTGTGAAAATTATACAAAATAGATTCTATTCCTAATTTTGCCTTCAAAGATTCCTAATTTTTGCTGTGAAATGTTGGCATGTAAAGGTAGAATGTATGAAAATTATCAACCTTTAACAAAAATACTTTACCAGACATTCTATAGGTAAACAGTTATGGAGTATGAAGAAATTACAGGATAACATAAAACCCTGCACGTAGGGCGCGCTCATTCTCTGTCTATGTGAGTGCATACGCATGCGTTAAGTGGTCTACTCACCAAGATGGTTTACAGATCACCGGAAGTGTATTTAAACTGCAATATATCTTTGGAGAAGAAATTTCTGAAGCTCATGATTTGACTACAGTATAGCAACATAGAACCGCTTATATCAAGAGCAATACATGTTTTGGTGATTGGTACACTTTAAAGCCCCACTGTCCTACTTGTAGCTACTTGCTCCCTCAATATAGAAAACTTCCCCAATTGGTGTCTTCTTTTTCTTATGTTAGTTGAGAGCTGAGTTAATGAGATAGCCAACTGTCAGTGACCTCGCTGTGTGGTCTAATCCCTTCTGGCCCAGTGGTATTGACGGTCTTTAACTGCTAAGGCACCTGAAAGTATAGTGGTTGAGTTGTGCATGAATCTTTATATGAGTTACCAACTGATATGTATTAATGTTTTTAAAATAGAAAAATTACACCTTTTGTCAAAAAATTGTGAAGAAAAAGCTTGATGTAGCATGAAATATATCTGAACATCTTTTCATTTTATCAAGGTTGGTAGAAGCAAAATATTGCATAAATTTGGAATAGTAGTTAAAAACGGTGCTTTTTTTAAAAAGGCTATCGGTCAGTCTTTAAACCATGCAAAAATGATTCGCAATTGACGGGTAAACAATCTTTAGGTTGATGACATCAGACTGATGGTCAATTTTATTTTTGTCCCTCCAGGATCTATGGCTCTCGTAGAGTTGCCTAATGAACTGAGCCGTAACCACACGGTGGAATACTCTTTAGCAGAATCTGTACAAAATGAGTTGTATTATCGGTACAATATTGAGGTAAGGCTGATGTTTGTTTGTTTTGTTTGTTTGTTTTACCTGACTGCTAAGAAAGCATGTTTATTCTTGTAAATATTTAGCACCCAGGGGAACTGACGGCTCAATGTAGTCTACAACTAGTTTAAAGAGAAGGTTAAGTTCTGGAAAGAGGTGAAAAATAATTTGTGAGCGTTATCATGTTATTATGCAAGTGTGGAAGAACATCAGATAAAAAATGTTCCCTGAAAAGCATGGCTCTTCAAATGCCTTAATATTATAAATATGACAGGTAACAGCATGAAAAACCGGGACGGATTTTTATGCCACATGTTCGTGTAGTTCCATATACATATTTATGTGTACAGTGCTTGTAACTTTACTAACACTGGGCCAAATTTTTTTTATCATTTTGATGATTCCAGTATGTTGCAGTACACGCCAATATATGCTAGATGATCAACCTTTTCTGATCGATCCCACACAGTTTATTTCAAAATGCAATCGCATGACCAGAACTCGACTTTATCTTTAAAGATGTGAAATATTTTTCACTAGAATGATTAAAGAAATTAAAAATATATTTGGCTTTTGCCCTCACACGATGTGAAATGTAAAGGAGCCTATATATGCTCTCAAAATATGTTTCTCAGAAGTTTGAGGTAATGAGAATTGTAATTGTATCCAGACTTTTACTGGAAACCATATGATCCTCTAAGTTTACATTGCTTGGGGTGTTTCACAAAGATTCTGATTTGAACTTAACTCTAAGTTGGATTTAAAAACTATGGAGAGCCATTTGTAGCCTTGAAATAAAATATATTCAAATGAAAAATTTCAAGTATTTTAGACTTTTCATAAATTCCACATCAAGAACATGAAATCTCCCATGATAAAAGAAAATATGAATGATTTGAATCAACATTTCGTGCCTTCTAAAAATAACTTTAAAAAAATATTCTTGAAGATGCTAACGGCTTTCCATAATTGTTAAGTCCAACTTAGAGATAAGTTCAACTTAGTTCATCTTTGTGAAACACCACCCTTCTTGTCCCTTGTCCAGGTTCCCATCAAAGCTCTTCAGGACCGACTGTACGTCAGAATCTCCGCCCACATCTACAACGAGCTTCCGGAGTACCAAAGACTCGCCTCTGCGATCCTTGAGATAGCCAAGTCCAAGGGAGGTCAGCAAGCAAGAGACGCGATGGTGAGGAAACTTGACGATGCGGCAAGGTGATGATCCTTTAGAGGTCCTCAAGGCCTCTATCGTGTGCATTCTGAATCGGACCAAACCAGCTATGAGGTAACTGGGCATTGTATGGAAGTTCGGGTTTATGCTACGGTCACAAAGGTTCGTACGAACGATAATTTCGTAAGAATCTCCGTTTTTCCATTGTCTTCCCGAATTTCCATTGTCTGAAAATCGTTCATACGGCGTTCGTAGCAGTTCGTAATGGCATTTGTGACCGAGGCTTTATCAACAGTGGTCATCAGATTGTTTGAGATAACATATTTTACTATTTTAAACTTCCCTCCCTTTCTATCACTCAGACCATACATTCTGTGGTGGACTCTGCAAATAGTGTAAACAATCAAATTGAAAATGGCTGATTGATTGATCTGTAATTGAAAAACAAGTCAGAAAAAATCTTGGAACCAGCAGGACTTGAACCTGCCATCTACTGCTTGCCGGTTGGCGACTCTACCACCAGATGTTTTGCTACTGTTTTTGAGCTTCCCTCGCCTTCTTTTGCATGTAGGCTATACAAGTATCTGCCCATTTCGTTGATGCTCTCTGTGCACGATGGTTTGAAGAAGGACGTTGATAATGACTGAATTTAATGTAAACAAATCACGATTTGGACCAAACTGAATGTAAATTTGAGGTAACAGGATGTTATAGGAAAGATCAGGGAAATCTAAAATAATCTTAGAAATGCGCAGGATTACATTTTTATGCCTCCGCCACCGAAGGTGGTGCCGGAGGCATCATGTTTTCGGGTTGTCCGTCCGTACGTCCGTCCCGTTTGACCGTTATCACAATATCTCAAGAACCATTTAAGATTTAAACTTAAGACTCGGGAATAGTATTTATCACTAGAGGAAGACGATCTGATTAGATTTTGGAGTACGTAGGTCAAAGGTCACAGGTCACAGAGGTCAACTTATGAAATTCCTTGTATTGAGTTTGTTAGCGCGATATCTCAAGAACCATTTGAGATTTAAACTTCAAACTTAAGGATAGTATGTATCACCATAGGAAGACGATCTGATTAGATTTTGGAGCACGTATGTCAAAGGTCAAGGGTCACAGAGGTCAACTTATGAAATTCCATGCATTGAGATTGTTATCATGATATCTCAAGAACCACTGGAGATTTAAACTTCAAACTTAGTGATAGTGTGTATCACTATAGGAAAACAATCTGATTACATTTTGGAGCAAGTAGGTCAAAGGTCAAGGGTCATAGAGGTCAACTTATGAAATTCCATACATTGAGATTGTTATCATGATATCTCAAGAACCACTGGAGATGTAAAAACTTCAAACTTAAGGATAGTATGTATCACCATAGGAAGACGATCTGAGTAGATTTTGGAGCACGTAGGTCAAAGGTCAAGGGTCACAGAGGTCAACTTATGAAATTCCATACATTGAGATTGTTATCATAATATCTCAAGAACCACTGGAGATTTAAACTTCAAACTTAATGATAGTGTGTATCACCATAGGAAGACAATCTGATTAGATTTTGGAGCACGTAGGTCAAAGGTCAAGGGTCACAGAGGTCAACTTATGAAATTCCATACATTGAGATCGTTATCGCGATATCTCAAGAACCACTGGAGAATTTTCACTTCAAACTTAATGATAGTATGTATCACCATATCATAATATCTCAAGAACCACTGGAGATTTAAACTTCAAACTTAATGATAGTGTGTATCACCATAGGAAGACAATCTGATTAGATTTTGGAGCACGTAGGTCAAAGGTCAAGGGTCACAGAGGTCAACTTATGAAATTCCATACATTGAGATTGTTATATGATATCTCAAGAACCACTGGAGATTTAAACTCCAAACTTGTTTAAATTGCTCTATGGCGGAGGCATCATTTTCGACTGCACGCAGTCAAAATTCCATCTAGTTGCTAATGTTTTTAGCTTCCTAGCCTTACATTGCATAGACCATACATATAGGTACATACAGTGTCTTTCCATTTTATAAATTTAATGAAGGTGTAAAGACTGCTATTTAAAGTGTAAAATGTGTGATGCCTGGAGTGCTTGATTATGCAATAACATTCCAAATTTGTCAGAGGTTTTTTTTAGTAATGTTCCGTTATTTACAATATTTGAAAAGATCATGATTTACAATGTTTGAAAATGAAGAAAAATCAAAATGGAACGTGTGCTATGTACAGCTGCAGTTGGACAACTCATGATATAATTTATAGTTTTCGACTGGGTTTTAACCCACAAGAATTCCCCTATCAGGGGGATGTCTCACAAAGACTAAGATCGACTTTCAGACAAGTCAATTTAGTACCGGTAATGTACATTATAGATCATGAGGAAAAATTGAAATGAAATACATTACGGTACTTTTATATCATTGTATAGAAATTTGACGAAGTTAGGTAAAATCAAGATTGATAATGTTTTGTAAATGTTTTAATTATGTTAATGACTAGAAGTATTCAGTGTCCAGTACTACAAATTAGATATATTTATCTTAAACTGATTTCAATAAAATGAGAACAACTTTAAACTGGTGCCGGTAGTCTTATTTTCATCTCTTTGTGATTTTCTAGGTGTATGGCTATGCCACTAAAGAACAATAAAAAAATAATATTTAAAGGAAGTGTGTCCCTTTTGCAGCCAACATCAAATTCTGTAGAACTTTGCAGCAATTATATGTAATCTATGTCCTATCTGTGAAATTTAAACGTTAGCAGTGTCCTAGTATTCACATTATGCAAAAAAAAAAAACGTTTACTTTCTCTACTTCACTGTCAGACACTATTGAGTGGGTGACTGACTTATTTTTTTCTTTGGTAATACCTAACATAACATGAGCTGTAAAGGGTACATGAGCCTTTGTACACATCAATAACCCACTTCTTGTAATGGCCAAAATTAAGCTGATTGAACTCTTTGCACAGCAAATAGCGTACGACCATATGGTACAAGGATCTGAAAATAAAACTATTTTCTACGCACAATTTTAGTAACGCATTACGAAAATTCCCAACGCTCGATTTTAATTCCACATTAAAGGTACTATGTCCCTTTTGCAGCCTACCTCAAATTCTGTAGAACTTTGCAGGAATTATGAATATGTCATGTATGTCCTATCTGTGAAATTTAAACGTTAGCAGTGTCCTCATATTCAAATTATGCAAGGAAACCCGTTTACTTGCTAAACTTCACTGTCAGACACTATTGAGTGACTGACTGGCTTTTTACCTTCTTTGGTAATAACATCCATGAAAAGAGTTGTAAAGGGTACATGAGCATTTGTCTACTTCAATAACCCAATTCTTGCGATGGCCAAGATTAAACTGATTGAATCTTTGCGCAGCATAAAACGTATGACCATTCGGTACAATTGTCTGAAAATCAAGACTATTACTTTTGGGCTCTATAGCCATAAAGTGGATTTTGACAACTAATAGTCGTTATTTTCCCACTTGAAGACATTTTCAAGCCCCACCTTTTTTAGGGAAGTTCTGAATTAGTATTATCTTTCAAATGCAGTTGGAATTTAACTTTTTCATTTTTTTGGCTTGCAAATGGGACATAGTACCTTTAAGGCAATTACCAGTTCTAATTTTTCCGGAGGATTTTTTACTTTTTAGTTGGGATTATCTCTTGGTTACCATAGGATTCATACAAGTTTATATTTGCAGCCTTCAAAAGGGACACACCATCTTTAAAGCCCCACTGTACTACTTGTAGCTACTTGCTCCCTCTATATAGAAAACAATGCCTAATCGGTGACCATTGGTCCCCCATGATCCTCTTTTTCTTATCTTAATTGAGAGCTGAGTTGAAGAGATAGCCACCTGTCAGTGACCACCCTGGGTGGTCTAATCCCTCCTAGCCAAACTAGTACAGACGGCCTTTAAAGGAGACACTCTTTACCTTGACAAAAGAAACACGAAGGAAGCACTCAATTCCGTTCACATAATATTATTACTACATTCTCCTCCATCAAATAAATATATCTGTGCCGTTTATTCTATATTCTTATTGAAACAGATATGTCATGTAACATTTATAATAAACATGATTATTCTGTTGTATAGACAGAGGAAGACAGATGAAATATTATATACAAAAATTGAAATCAAAAGTCAATTTGGCAGAACCACTACTTTTTAGATGTATACATTAACATATAATTCAAATAGGAAGTATTGTTTGCAAATTATGGGAGTACTTTAATTAGTGTTATAATTACGACAATGGATACTTAATGGCCAGTATGCGAAAAAATATACTAACTTTAATAGTTCAGGTTTAATTTAGTAGATTTACATGTAGTTCATTGAATTATGAAGTGCCAATTTTCACACACTCCATCCTGCAAAACTTACCATAATTCTGCAATCGAATGAACAAAGTCTTGTGAACATTAACCAATTCTTACTTAACACCCTCTACATTTTTCGCGATAACTTTTTAACGCGAATGAATCTTGCGCTGAAATTTTATGACTTTTTTTCTTTCGAGTCTTGCGCATCTTTTGAAACTAAATTTTTCGTAGATCGGACCTATACCGTTACAAAGTCACATGGCCTTTTGTCTTTGCATGTTGATTTCTATACAAAACACAAGGAAATACCATTTTTCCAAAAAAAGAGATAAAACATTGGTTATTTGTTCTTGTTTATAGTTTAGATGTTTGTTTTAGGGGTCAAAATAGTACTCAAATAGTTCTTAGGGGGGAGGGGGCCTTAGATCGAAGCCCGACACTTGGACCAGATGAGGGTTTATTGTTTTTCATCAATTTTCTACATCTTTCTTCCACTGTCGTAGTATAAACCTTTTACAACAAATTTGACACTTGCAACTTTTTATTTTTTTTACTTTAAGACTTGAAACGCAAGTCTAGTACATCTGAAATAATGCACAAAGAGAAAGGAGAAAAAGTCTTGAAATTGGTATGATGTTGGAACCAGATGAGGGTCTATTGTTTCCATCAACTTTCCACATCTTCCTGTCACTGTCGTAGTATAAACAATTTACAACAAATATGACACTTATTTTTTTTTTCCTTTAAGACTTGAAACACAATAAAGTCTAGTACATCTGAAATAATGCACAAAGAGAAAGGAGAATGATTAGTCCAAAAGTAGGTCTAATGGTGGGACCAGACGAGGGTCTATTGACGTCATCGTAGAGTATGATTCTTCCTTCTGCTTCTTCGTTGAGAGGAGAAGTGGACTTGATGAAGCTTGATGTCACGTCAACATCATTATTTCCTGGGTGAAATGAAATGGTGAAGGAAGAGAGAATGTTTAATTTGAGAATGAGGACCGTCATTGCACCCGTTTTCCAAATGTATTTCAAAATATGTAATAGATATAATGGATAAATGTATATCCTTTGGGATTATTCAACCCTTTCAAAACTGCTGTTTTCAAGAAGAAGAATTTAAAGGGAGACAGAAGTAGAAATGACAGAACTTTAGCAATTTGCAGAACCTTTTCCACCAAGATCAAAAGGTCCAAATTGTGTTTCTGGGAAATAAATCCTGTAAGGAACCCCCCCCCCCCTCCCTCTATTTCAAACGCTCTTGAAACCGCCTCTACCCCTAGCCATGTCCAACTTACCGCTGACATGCTCCATCTTGTTCTCTCGTACGACGTCGTAGCCCCCTCCCCCACCGGCCATGTAGCTGTTCATGATGACCTCGTAGTGGCCCTCAGGGTCGACGTCCATGAGCTCGTTGGTGCCGTCATCGGTACAGGTCATGCAGCGGAACTGCGCTCGGTGAACCCTATCGCCACTCTCCCGAGTCAGGTCGTATTCGATCACCATCCCTAGGCGAGTGTAAAGACAAGAAATTTTTAGTGTGAGGTACATGGGCACCTTTCTAAATTACTTGATGCCGTGGACCATTTGTCATCTGGCAGTTGCACCTTGCTTTGTTTTGTTTCAAAGATGGTCATGGTTTGGGTCACCATTTGAAATTGATTGAAAATTCTGTTTATAAAAGGATCAATTTATAAGTACCGTAAATATCTGTGTATAAGACGCACATGTGTAAGGTGCACCCCTATTTTGAGGGCAAAAACCCACGCGGGGAAGGACCTTCATTTAACATCGAGGTGCAGTTGAAGGCGCCGATTTGTGCTTGTGAACATGTCACAAATAGTAGTAACAATGTCGTTTTTAGAAGAATGTGTAAGATCATTAATGTAAATTAAAAACAATAGAGTACCCAGGATAGAACCTTGTGGTACACCATGTGTAAAAGAAAAAAAAATTGAGGAATTAATAGGAATTAATATTATAAACTACATATTGAGATCTATTAGACAGATTACTTTCAAACCAAGATGACAGACAAATTTGATTGTTGTTGTAGTTTCCGAGTGGTGAGTCAACACACCGATTACTGAGTTGGCAGACATTGCCAGGCATAGCGCCATAAATCGAAACTAAAAAAATAAAATGTAAAAACTTTTTTGGGGGCGGCAAAAAAGTGCACCTTATACACAGAGATTTACGGGTTATTAAAAAAAAAACCAAGGGGTGATTAGCAGAGACTAAGTTTTTTTATAACTTCGCAAATTCATAGAAAAAAAACAGTTTTTGTTTTTTACCCCAATCAATCATTTTGCTTAAAACTATTTTTTTCTATAAACAAATTTTCAATGGTTTAAGGACAGATTTATGCAGAATTTTTGCTTTTGCATGTTAATTTTTAATATTAAATAATCCTCCATTTAGCCTACATGTACCTTTGAATAATTCCATGTATGTTACACATAATTGACTATTTGTAGTTCTCTCACCCGACACTTGCAGGAAGCCGTAGATTGGGATGGAGGGGTCAAATGTCACCATGGGTACCTCAAGGACTTTGAGAAGGTCCCTGCCCGTGAGACGAACTTTGTCGATTGTGTTACCATAGGGCATTATGGTGATGAGATCACCTGTTGTAATGTCACCTGATTCAGAACCAAAGAGGAAAATTGATAATGAAAAAAGAAATTATCCAGAGTGCAAATTCTTTTTAAATAGTGGCTTGTTTTCTGAAGTTCATGACTTCATCCTTTAGAGAAAAAAAAAAATAGTAACCTTTAGGATAGATTTTCAAAATGTTGATTTGAGAGAATAGATAGTTGTACCACATTCTTATAGTTATAGTGTAGACTTATCAAGAAACAGGAATTTTTTTTTCCTGCAAAATCCATACCCCTATTACTACCTGTATCATCCCTGACATTTTTGTTGACTTGTTTTGACATATGAAGTTAGGTTATAATAATAATCATAATACAATATTTATAAAGCACATAATAAACAAAACTTTCTCTATGCGTTGTACAAGCATGAATGACAAGTAAATTAATCACATACAAGGAATCAACAAAGAGAAATATATGAATCTTATAACTACTAAAATGACTTTACTTGGTAAATAACATAACAGAAAGATAGCTAAAATGGTCAAAGCAAATAACGTAAGTAAGGATAATTTAAGCTAATCAATTAAGGCCAAAGAGGAGTGTTTTAACTAAAGATTTGAACGTTGCAGAAGTGGGTCCCCTAGTATTTGTTGATCTACTCCAACTAGCTAACCTTACAACCTATAAACCTGACCAGTAAATTCCACTTTCACTTGGTGTAAAACCTGACGAGTTGCAACTCTTGTTCCTACCTGCTTCCACCGAAGAAGAGATGCTTCCAGACGTTGTCATGGCGATGTTAGCCCCATACCAGTCCATGCCATGGTCAAAGAGCATGGCATCGGCCATCACGTTGCCTAGGTTACACTCCTGTGTCCCGCAGGTCGCGAGGTCGCCGTTGAGTCTGGTCTCGGTGCGACCGATAACCTCGTTGGAGATTTCATCGACTCTCACCTCCCAGGCTTCAACGGCAGCTAGGGTGGCTGGGTCTAGGATGTGAAGATGTTTTTTTTTTATTTGTAAGGTGTTTCAGAAAGAAAAGACTTTGTTGACACACAAGAAATGGAGGTCAAAAGCAATTTGTTCTAAGAATATGGCACAAAAATGCTGATAATAGTCAGTCATATGCCTTTTTTGCACCAAGAGAGAGAGAGAGAGAGAGAGAGAGAGAGGATGGAGCAATCAGATGGCAAGAAATTAGGTAAGAGAGATATAAAATTAGAGAAAAGAGATAGAATGTGAGAGAGATAGAGACAGATCGAGAGAGGGGGGAGAAAAATGAGATGGAGCCTGTAAGATAGAGAGAGAGAGAGAGAGACTGTGTGATAAAGATAGCTAGATAAATTCGCCAGAGAGAGAGAGAGATAGTGAGGGAGGATATTCAGAAGAATAAATTCTACAAGTAAACAAACAAATAAAGACAGAAGGCCAAGTAATGAACGGGCAATCAGTTTAGCCTGACAAAGACCCCCCACCCCCACCTTTCAAAACAGTCTCTCAATGCCCCAATATACTATTAACAGTTCTAGAAGAAAATGGGGGAGGGGGACTCAAAGCCCCTCAACAACAAAAATCACTCATGATCTTACCTTTCTCGACACTGCCGTCCAGTAGAACAGGGTTCCCAGCATAGTCCGTCACGGTCCCGTTCTCGTCGAATGTTACCTGTAGGTGACCCAGGTACTTGCCATAGGCGTAGGCTGATAGGACCAGTACGGATGCCTCACTATCATGGGCTGGATGCACAATGTAAGGGTAGTCTCCAACGGGTACTTGGTTAGAGGGCGCTTCTCCTATATAGTAAATAACAAGAATTTATGTTTGATTAAGAAGGAGATTTCCCCTTGGCAAAAACACATTAGAATCCCTCTGTGGAAGTGGTTTCCACAATGTTTCCACAATCACATACACGCGCTCATTACTTTTTAAACAACAATAGCATTTGTTACAGATGTGGCCGTATCAACACAGAAAAATGCTATCTAGTGGGCCTTTTTTAATATATTTAGAGGAGTACGAAGGCTTCTTAAACATTTCTTGGATTATTAATCATTTTCGCTGCACATTTGGTTTAAAACATGCAAAGCCAACATGACATTCTCTTGCTTAGACATGAAAGAGGGATGCTAAGACACAAGTGCACAATATTTCAACTATGCCGCCGGACTATTGTCTGTTCTATGAAGGAAACAAAAAAAGGATTCGAGTGATTTTGTGAGAAATATAAGCAATCGTGTTCAGAATGTTTTTTGTCGATTACTGTACAGTCTTTTTTTTTTCGAGTTGATTTTATGTGAGAGGGTATTTCTTATTATAATTTGTTTATAATTATTATTGTGGTTATTGTTATTACTATCATCATCATCGTAATCATAATTATCGTCGCGATCATCATCATCAATGTCATCATAGTACTTAATTACCTGTGTATAAGAAAGTATTTGAGTGTCCGCCGACCACGATATCGACCCCCTTGACGTCCCGAGCGACGGCCTGGTCGACGTCGAACCCTGCGTGACCGAGGGCGATGATCTTGTTGATGCCGACGACTATCAGATCGTTGACCTTTGGTTGGAGAGCTGGGATCACTTCATTGAACACCAATGATTCTATAATACATGAAATAATTATTTAGTTATGTACGATCGGTGGGTGGGTCGGTGTCTGCGAACACTTAACAAACATAAAGACTTCTCTTTTGTGTTCAGATGGAACGAAGATAAAATAGCATCAACCGTCATTAATGTTTGACCCTTGTAATATTGTCCAACCTATTACGTCTTTGAAGGTTTACGAAATTTTGCTTGTAAACTTCTTCAAACTGCTGTTTTAAATCAACTGCCGGATAGACAATCTGTCCGGGCACACAGTGTCTTGGTATAGGTATATTTCCATCCAACTCGATATGCTTTTTTTTTACCGATGGATGATAAACTAAAATGTTTATTTACCTTTTAACAGTTACTTTGAACTACTTAACAGTAGGAAAGAAATGCTCTTGGGATTGACGGTCAGATCAATATCATAATTAATGATAATGATTGTTGGCTGCTCTGAATGTATATTTTCATCGCCAGGAGGGACTTTGGAAAGTTTTACGGAAGTCGGGACATGCCACCATTGCCCATCCCCCACACACATCCGCACGTGCGCACACACATGCACTCGCATAAACACACACACTGAAACACATACACACATCTGTTCACTTTACTCCACAACGTGGTTCCATTACCTGTTTTTGAAAAATCGGGACTGGACTTGAGGGTGTAGCCAACCACGCCCACTCTTTCCCCGCCCATTTGGAAAATGTGACTGCATACGTAGAGCCCATGTAGGCGTGGCTCGTTGGTGGCGTCGATGTTACAGCTGAGCACGGGAAAGGTCACGTTTTGGAGGAAGGGAACAATGCCGTCTATTCCATTGTCAAACTCATGGTTGCCAAGGACCTGGGATGGAGGGACAGGGAGAGAGCGAATGAGCGAGAAAGTGAGAGAGAGAGAGAGAGAGAGGGGGGGGTAATAGTAGAGAGGGGAAATATACAGAAAGGGAGAAAGAAACGGGTAGAGATTGATTATGGGAACGAGATTTGGCAAACGAAGGGAGATGGTCATAATAGTAACGGAAAGAACTGTCTTTGAGTTATAATAGGCGCAAAGCATTATAACGTTTATTATTATAAGAAACACGTCGGGCTGGGGGGGGGGGGGGGGGGGGGGCGAAGGGTACAGAAGCCGAGATACAGAGAGACACAGAGTGGCACGTACGGCCTACAAATATCGCGCAGTGTTCTTCAAACGGGGTGCCGCCAGAAAATTTTAGCAAGCTATATTTTGGAAAAACGTAAATTTCGTAAAAAATAAATTTTAGAAACCGCTAAATAATGTTATTTCATGAAGAAAACGCAATTTAAAGTTACTAAAGTGTCTCTCTTCCTCGCTCGCTTTACTCGTTCGCAACCTTTAGAAGCGTGATGGTTTATTGCAGTAAAGTGCCTGAATACCTCCATACCTGAGCAACAAGGTCATTGAATAGCCTTTTATGCGACAGCGAGGTGCCCGAAGGTATTATACCTTTCATATCGAAATTACATTTTTACCACGCTCGTTCTCTTCACTCGCTCGCAACATTTAGAAACATGATAATTTGGGGCAATGAGATGCCCGGGTCCATTATACTACATAATTGTTTTGGTTTTCATGTACAGCGAGGTGCCCGCTCACTAAATTCTTTATTTTATCTAGTGTGCTGATTACAAAGTAAAATGTTCATCATGTTAAAAGGTGTTTTTTTTATTTTTTGCTCGCTCGCATTATTTAGGACAAATGTGCTTATGTGTACGTGACACGTGGCAAATGTCAGAATGATGCAAAATGAATCTGGTGTAAATGAATTTGGATTGGGGTGACGCGAAATGTTTATTTCTTTAAAGGAAGTATTTACTAACTCGTATAGTGGTATTGATGTTAGATTTCAATACACTGATCATAATATTTGCAAACCGAGAAACCTGCTTCGTGCAACAAATGCGGATATCCTTTCTTTCTTAGTTCTCAAACCTGACATAGGCTACTTGCAATCATAGCAGTCAGATTATAATTGATGGAGGTTTTAAAGACGGGCTTGAGTCTGATACGGGCAACCCCCCCCCCCCCCCCCAGATGTTATCCTAACAAGTTTCATGAAACAGGGCCCAGACATAAAGGTATCATAATTATAATCATCGTAACGAGACTTTGGCTATATCATTTTTATGTTTGAGCATTATCTGACAACGGTTTGGGTTTTTATATACTAGGTTTTTTATCTTCGTAATTACCTCTAACAAAGTCTAAAGGTAGTTTCCTATACTCTATTCAAAGTACACACCTCTGTTTATCCTTTGGATTCAGGCTCACACTCGTTAATTGTTTGTTGATTTGAGATGTCAACAAAGTCGGGAATGTATTTTGTAAGACCATGCGGATCTATAGGATTTAGCGCCTGCAAATGAATGGTTCTCTGTCAAAATCCACTGTTAAACTAATAAAGATAAATAACTTTTGTGATATACCACGACGAAAAAGTGCAGTAAGAGTTTCATGATTCTGGGTTATCTTGTACGGGGCGGTAGTCCTCACCCCCCCCCCCCCCACCCCTCCCCTCCCCCTCCCCCTCCCCCTCCCTCTCAAATTCATGCAGGGGAGGGAGGGGGCACGATTATAGGTGCCTATTCTTGTGTATGTACTTCGTATGCCAGATGTGGTTTTGCCCCTGGAAACGCAAATGAAGCGTATTTGAGTTCAAAAGTATTACGTGCGTTTTAGTATACTCGTCTAAAACAATTAAAGAAGAATAAAGAACAAATATATACAATAATATGAATGCCTTTAACACATGCAATGGGGAAATCAATATGCCATGTTCCGACAAGTCCAGTTTGTGCTAATGTCATTAAACATCGGCAGAGCGTACTAAAAATTAATCCGTTTTGATAAGCCTAAGCCTATATACCAATTAAACACCATTTATCAGTCTGCAATGATAAGTGCTGATCCCAAGGGTAATTGACAAGCTCTGTGAGAGATAGACAGAGGATAGGTTAACGACCTTATATGCCCGATTTATCGAATGAAAAGAAAAAAAGGCCACGCTGATGCAGCATTTGACCTATTAAAAAAAACTAGAGACACGAGCTATCAAAAAGAAATAGGTATATTATCTGTTTTTTCTTATGTGTTCTATATGTATTGATAGAATAATTGTTAGCACCTTTACGAATGTCTCAAAATATCTACAGATCTGTTGTACATGGAGTACGTAAAGTCTCACTTTGTCTCGTTTTATTCTCGCTATGTATCAGTGGGTTTTTATAATATTGGTATAAATGACCTTTAACTTCCCATGCGAAGATCGTATCAACCCCCGCTTGACCTCAAAGCCGCCATTTCCTGAAACCATGGACCTACAAAGCACCGATAAGTTTATATTCATTTCTGAATGAGACTCCTTCCCTAAGGTTCTTTAAATATGCCTAAATTACTGAAATTCGTTTTATATTTAAGATTAAAATCAAGCCTATCTAATTTATAGATCAATTTTGATACTCATTGTGATGATCTATCGCGGTTGTTTTGTTAATTAGTATTGTATACATGCGGTTTATTCCTTTTGTGTGATATCATATCGATACACGAATAGGCCTACACTTGTGTTACACTTGTGAATAACTTTGTTAATAAATTTCTTGGGGAAGGGGGGGAGAATTGTTTGAAAACAAAATAAACTCTGACCTGTGAACTTTGAAATGTACTCACCATAGCATCGTACCCTAGTAAATTCATAAAGTGCGCAGTCGCGTTCCCACGGTACGTGTAGAACCAGTCTGTTCCCTGAAACTGATCACCGGCGTCGAGAAACAGAACGTGCCCATCGGGATCACGAGCCCTTGCTTCGTTGACTACGGTAGCTCGTCGTGCAACCCCGCCGAAGCAGTCGGCGGTATCTGCCGTGCATATCCGACCGTTTTGGTCTGTTTCCATAAAGCGGGCATGACAGTCGTTCGTATGTAAGATTGTGAGGTTGAACACCGCAGCTCGAGTGCTATGGTAAAGACATAATGTAAGCAAGGCACAATATTTCAGCAAAAGATGTGTATTCCGCATGTTGATTTGAGAATTTTGCGAATGAATCCACAAGTTTGGTTAGAACCCAAAAGCAGATTTTCTGCAGGTGTACTTTGTCACCTGCCGTCACGCGTCAAGCTGTTTACAATTATGAACGCTGTCTTTAAAGAGACCGACAGTCCCACAGGATATTTGGAAATAAAGATAACAAAGTCAACATTGCCATATACGTTATATGTCGTTTTTTCTTCTAAATGAATTCATATAAAACAAAATGACTGTTTCGGAAGTAGTGTATCAAGCTGGGTTGCCTATACATACATTTAAATATGTCAACAACGGGTTACTAACCTTGTTTGATAGGTTAAAAAAAAGACCACTTTCAAATCAAATCTTTCAGGTTTGTTTTGGCGTCGTTCGCTGACCCTTTACTTCACAGTTTAATGAATAATGATAATAATGGTGATGCGCTATTAATTGTATAGCGCTCATGGCGTTCCAACACAACCCATGGTCAAAATAGTCCAGCAGCCATGACTATAACATGTTTGTAGCGTATTATAATTACCCATTTTAAACCGGGGTGGAAAGTGGCAACGTGTATTACCAGGGAGTAATTGTGAGTTTAAAACTCACAACTCCCTGATATTACGTTGAGTGCCGAGCTGGGATTCGAACCTTGAAACCTTGACTGAGATGAGGGCCAAGTGCATGAACAATTACACCACGACGCCTCCACAGAAGAACAGTGGGAACGCAACATCTATAATTCCACATAAGTGGGATTCCCCTATGCAGTCTTACTGTGGTGTGTACACACTGTGATTTATTATCTGACCACAGTGTGTTCTATTGTGTTACACACAGCGTAAAGACAGTGTGAACATAGTCGACACAATATGAAAGTGTTTTAAATCTTATACTGTTGTCTATGTTGTGTCTTTAGGACCACAATGTACCACACAATGCCATAAATGTGAACATGCTCGACATTACCTCAGAATGTCACATGCACTCTCATGCTTCATGATTTGACTCACTGTGGCGCGTGACGGTGTGGTTAGTTATCTGACCACAATGTGTTCTATCGTGTCACACTCGGAGTGAAGACAGCGTGTACGCAGTCGACATGATAGGAAATTATTTTCAATTTTACATACTAGCTGTTGCATCTACATGCTTTGATTTCCTATATGTGACCACAGTTTACCACACTGTGTCATTATGCGGACAAGTTCTAAACTACTGCAGATGAGTTTGATATAATTTTCAGATTCACACTGTGGTGTGTATGAACCTTATGTACTCAGATTTTACCCACAACCCACATTGTGCCACTATACTTCAGTATATGTTTCTCATTCTCTTTCTCTCATTCTCTTCTTCCTTTATCCCTTCTCTCTCTCTCTCTTTCTCTCTCTCTCTTTCTCCTTCATTGCTGCCCGTTTCTCTTTCCCTTTATCTTTAATTTGTTTCCTTCTGTTTTCCCATATAATTTTTTTCTACCAGCAGGGCCTTTGCTACAACCGTACTTTTTGTTAGCTCCTTCCACGTGCAAACTTTCCATTTCGTTGTGCATGTACATTGTCTTCTATATAACCTTGTCAAAATGGCCATAGTGGATTACATTTTATCGCAACAGAGTTTTAACATATAGTCATGACAGTGTCAACACAGTCGATACCATAAAAGTCGTAAAAATCTAAATTGTGGTCATGCCCTGTTCGATTTTGATCTGGTGACCACAATGCGTCACAAATTCTCTCTCAGTTTAAACTTTGAACATTTTGTGAACATATTCGATTAGTGTGAAACTTCTGAAACACATTACGCATGTTACGCATGGCCATACTACCTCATGTTCTGTTACAGTGTGAATAAAATCAACATTGTGAAAGGGGTCTATGGTTCCAACCGTTCTTGTATTTAATGCTCTTTGACCTCAATGCGTCAATTTGTGTCTCTCAGTTTGAATATTGTGTGAATATATTTGGCATCATGAAAGTGATCAGAATGAAAACTGCAATCGCAACCCACACTCAATGATTTGATCTCTGACAAACAGTTTAGTTCTCTTTTCAATTAATATAATTCAGTTTATTGATATAAACCGTTTGTTGCCGATGAGGCAAATTGCAGATTGCTCTTAATACAAAGAGTGACATAACATAATTACAAAGTAAAAGAAACATAATAAAGTGGTTTGAAATACGATAATCAATCAAGTCCATAAATAACAGATACAAATAAGCATTATAATGTATTATTGAACATTGAATAAAGAATAAAGGTTTTATTGCTACATTATTTTATATAATATATTGCCTGATTTGAGTACATTCATATAGCTCATGACATATCTTCTTCTTGTGTCATACAACGATTTGCCGCTAAAGTGACGAACCCAGGGGCCCATTTCATAAAATTTGTTATCTATAACAACTGCTAAATTTCTATGACGATTTTGTTCTCAGCCAACCAGATGCAATGTTTTAAGTAGCTTATAACAGTAACTTGTTATTGATATCAAGTTTTATGAAACAGAGCCCAGGTTGGAGAGCCACGCAAATGAGGCCTCATCTGACACAGGATGACCTGAAGATGCCTCTTGGGAGCCTTGTTAGCACGCATCTGATGATGGTGTGCGGTAAGGTCTGGTCTAGGTGACCACGTACTGTCATATTATGCACTCCCTCTGTAATGGTGGCTTCTTATGATAACGCATATGTCTGTCACGCCGTGACGCTCCTGGCGCTTCAACATTAGTACCCCGGTCACATCCGTCAGCTAAATGATTATGTAGCGCTCTGGCATATTGGGTACCCATTTACCCGTGTGTAGGGAGTGGCAAGTGTGGATCAATGTCTTGCCAAGGGTCATGAAGTTCAAGTTACTTCATCATAAAAGCGTTTTTTGACCACGAAGTTCGAATTCCGGCTCTTGTTGTCAGCTATACACTATGGAATTACTCGAGTTGTTCGTTTGTGATACATTTGTTGAATTCGTTAACGGGTAACCATTGCCTGTGAGGGTTGAAAAAAACGAGTGTTTTTAATGATCAGTATTAAAAGACCCCATAGCTGCCCTCCCTGTGGGTTTTTTGCAAAGTTTACAGCTGTCTACGCCTGGAATCGAGCCCAGGTCACTGGCTTAGGTCACGGAGACGGTCTGGTGGTTTTGGCAATACCCGATTTAATTAACCGAACGATTGACTAATATTCAACCTCCAATAATGAACTTCTTTGTTGGGGGTATTTCTTTCTGAAAACATATTTAGATAAGGAGCAAAAAAGAGAATATAACGACGTTCATTTGTATTATGTGTCTTACCCAAATCGATTTACAAATAAGTTTCGTTATATTAGTCGATGATCATAAATTGTTACAGATCATTAGTGATATCATCCGTGGACAAATTTGTTGACCCATCCAAAATTGTAATTCAGAAATCTGTGGTTGATTACGTAGCTACCTTGAATAGTTAGCTTTCAATACCAATGGTCGGAAAGGAGCTTTTAAACGGTATTTTCTTCGAATTACTATTGCAGCTATCATACATCCTTTGCATGCAAAAAGGACCAGAAGCTATTGTAGCAGGACTCAAGTAAACATAGGAGCAACCCTAATCGGGGAAGGATGCCCCCCTCCCCCCATATTCAAGATTTGTGTCAAAATCAAACGAGTTACCCCTGCCGAGGACCAGACCACATGTGAGGGACACTCCCAGGACGATGGAGCCGAGAAGGAGACCAAGTAGAAGGGTGTGCAGCTTCCGTCGAGCCATGTTGAAGGTGGAATCAGTTGAGCTTGGATCGTAACTCTACACAAGAAGAAGTACATCGGGAAAATATTTTAATAACAGAAACTTATATTTTCTTTTGGTGATGTAATAAACCACACTTCATGGCCTTCAACGTATTTCGAGTAGGATACATGGGATAAGCAAATATAATTTCTCCAAAGATATGTTACAAATTTAACAAAATTACCTAGCCGACCCGTAAATTATAGAAGAAGAAGAAGAAGAAGAAGAAAGAGTATTTAAATGTATTTTCATCATGATCATGTATATTTTATCAAATGTATACTAAAACAGGGCCCTATGAATGTCAGTTATATGTTGTTCCTATGTGCATATGTTGAAGAACGATTGTTCATGTGCATATAAACAATTATCCTATATGGACACAATAAAGAAATGAAATGAAATGAAATGAAAATATAATTGTTATTTATATTGTCACAGAGAAAATAGTTCTCACCTCTCCAGGGGCGCCGGATTCAGGATGTTTCATTTCTTTTGTTAATACATTTATTTATTTATTTTTTATTGTTATTATTTTTTCTATTTTTTTCGTGGGGGCGGATTCTTGGAGTGGTGTATTTAATGTATATACCACTTATGTTTCAGAAGTAGTACATACTCGATGTGCCATCTTAATCTGTCAATGCCCCTCCCCGATCGTTTGGTCTTCTCATAGCATGTATGCTGTAAACCTTACCTCCGGTCTAGTGTCTGGCTCGAGGTCGTACTTCGAAGCGGTGTGCGATGTCGGATCATAAGGAAATACCTTCATCAAACATGAGGTAAAAGAAAACAGAGATGGTGTTTCATTTTAAAAGCATCGTTTAACAATATTAAATCTGGGATGCACTGCCCTACGTGTTATCAATATCTGTGATAAAAAAATTGCGCTTAAGAATGATCAAGAAGTGCCTCAAATAAGTAAAAAGAACCTTTGAGTGACCGGTTTTACCATATTCGTTTACCCCAATATACTGTAGTGTTATGAAAGCCGTTTGGTAAACGCAAAATTTGATTTCGATTTCCAATCATAAATATCTTGATAATCAGACAAGCGATCGGCTTGTAAAAGTTATGAGGTTCCTGGCTGATTTAAAGGTTTATAATTACCATTGCAGCATGAGCTAAATCCAGGATATTGTTCCAGAATCTGAGACAAAGTTACCGGATCCCTTTTAGGGGTTGTCGGCTGTTGATTTTCCCTAACATCAAACTTTTGTGATTTGTTGGCATGTAAGCACTTTAAAAAAAATTCGTTTCGTATTTTAATGCCGATTTACTTTCCGCTATGTATTATACCCAGAGCCACAGAGTTTGGCCATCTTGGCTTCAGGTGGTAACAAAATGGCATGTAT